GTTCTACATTTTCAATACTTTCAATATTTACGCTCTGCATTATCACGTGTATCGAGCACTATACGTTGCTAGTATTGCCAACTACATTTATTCATATGTATATATCTATTTATATATAAATAATGTGTGTGTGTGTGTGTGTGTGGCATTATATGTTGAGCTTGTGTTTTACCTACTTTTTTTCAGTGGTCCTTGTTAAAGGATTATGCGCAGACTTTTTTTTCAGTTTTCAGTCATCTTTTTTATATCTAACCTTGAGTGTTTCAGCAATACCCTTGTTGGTAGGTAATTCTATTTAGCTTTTATTGTGTAACAAAACCTGTCATTGTCATTCCAATTGTCAGATTTGTCAGAACAGAAGAAAACTGGCTCTTTTATCCAGTTGATGAGTATACCGGGCACATGGGTTGGAGTGTTGTCGCTTTTTATTGGTACAGCAGCTTTAACATTTGTGGAGCCGACTCTTTCGACTGTGCTGCAACAGGTAAAATATGGGAAAACATTTATCATCCAGGAAATGCTTTGTTTCCACAAAGTCTATAATTTTTTTAGATTTTTCCAATAATTCTATAAATATTTCTAATATATATGACAAATATATAATATAATATAACAAATATTGATGATATGAAAACAAGGAAATTGAGGTGGGAGAGGGGTGTGTAGTATTACCCCTCATCTTGAAAACTACTTTCTCAAAGAAATTTGTAATTTTGGTACAGTAGTGTTTTCTCTCAGATATATTGTGGGTATGCTACCACAGTACCATTAATACAATCATACCATTAATTATCTGTAATTATCATTTTGTTTGGAATATTGATTTGAGACTTGTATGTAATGTCATTAGTAGCTAGCGCCTGGCAACATTCTCTAATAATACTATTTATATGCCTATGTTATTTTTATTATTTCTGTTAAATAGAACATCGATGTATACTGTATGCTATATGTTTACCTCCATTAATAGATAATTTAAACGCCCTCATTAGAGTTAACATGATTTCAGTCTGGTCATTGCATTTGACCTCGAATTTGAATTAAATAAGGCATAAGCTCAGCTATTTTTATATCAAACATTTGTTTATATCTTTTGCAGTATAATTTGACACCAACGCAAATTGGTCTGGTGTTCCTATTAATGGGGTTTGGATATGCAGTAACCGCACCGACAGTTGGTTGGATTGCTGACAAACGGAAAAACACACGAACCCTGCTTGCGTTTGGTTATATCGTGGCTGGAATAGCATACCTCATTGTTGGCCCATGGCCTGTTCTTCATCTACCAAAGTAATATAAAATTCTTTCTTGAACAATATTATTACCCAACATGTCTTTATGATCCGTATCATTGGGAAAAAATTAAATAACATGGAATTACTGTAATATGTCTTAAAATGAGCCTAAGGGAGTGGAGTTGAATTTACAGGATATGAACTATCAAACTGTTGTATGCCCATATATAGTCATGATGTGCCTATATATGGTCATGATTTGCCTATATATGGTCATGATATGATGTCATCATTGCCATGTTTAGGCATACCACATTTTTTTTGGACAGGACTTTAGGACTGGTACTCTAACACATTACCACCAATCTATCCTAACCACTAAAGCTACCTTTATAATGAGTTCATAGCTTTGTGTTTTTTTCTTACAGTAAACTATATATAATTTGTATTGGAGTTGTACTTATATATGTGGCACTGGGCTGTGCCATAACACCGACGTATCAGGACCTATTAGTAACCGTGTTACACAATGGTATGCCAGACGACTTATCAACGCATACTGTAGTCTCTGGAATGTTTAACAGTGCATTTTCACTCGGGTAATCACTGATTTTATTTCTTATTGTATATTACCTTGAAAGCATTGAAAGTACAACAACCAGATCTAAAAAAAAATGTAAATTAATACCTAGTAAAAAGATATTTAAAATAGAGATTATTTCTATAAAGGTAATAATTAAATTAGATGACTTCTTCAGAATTTCTAGTAATTGTTAAATATAAATAGTTAAATTAATTAACTATTATGTACATAATTGGCTACAGTGTATATATTGTATTTTTATTGTTTCCTAGGTCATTTTTTGGTCCTACTATGGGAGGCCTTCTGGTACAGAAATTCGACTTTGCAATATCTTCTTCATTGTTTGGAGCATTAAATTTAATTTCAGCTGCTTGCATCATATTATTTTCTTTATGGGAATTCAGATGTGGAAAGGGGTAAGTTGGTTAAGGATTATTGGGGAGGGAAGGGAGGTTAAGGGGTAAGCGGTCTTGTGTGGCGCTATATCACTGATGGTTGGAAAATATAATATGATAATATAGAATAGGGTAATAGATAAGTAAAGTGGTGATGGATGATAAAATTTGTAAGGTTCGGCTATATGCATTAGTGTAAGGACAACAATAAGATAAAAATTGTTTTGAAGAGTATGCATACAAAAGCTGTTAAAGCATGTTATTTATAGCAATGTGTATTTGGGTTTGATCTCATTGTTTTAATTTTTATCTTCGTTTTTTTTTTGTATATGTTGATGTTGGCCTTATAATCATGCGAAAAAATACAATATATTTAATAAAAACTTTTCTTTCCCCAAAGGAGGCGGAAAACAATGTATGTTGCAAGGTTCCGAGTAACTGCTGAGGAGACAAAATCGCTTCTAAATAGTGAGGATGACAACACAGACTCCTCCATATCAGATAGTAAAGATGAAAACGAGATAGAACCATCATTAAGCAGTTTAACATCTGAAAGAGAATTACAAATAAATATACCACCAGATGACAGAGAACCATTGTTAATTAATTTATGAACTCATTAAATATGAATGATAATTATTATTTAATGAATAATCAGATTATGGAAAAAACTTTTCCATAATCTTTGATGCAAGCCATAGTGATTCAATATTTTGTGCTTTATTTGCTTATGTTAAGAAAGAATGAATGTCTCAATTCTTGGAAGAATGAATGAAGTCTGAAATATTGAATCATAAAGTTTAAGTATCCTGGTGACATCATAGCTTTAATATTGATTTTGGCCACTCCGCCTTTTGACTGGTCGATTTTCGTTAAACTACGGCCACCTGCGCAGTGGTAAAATCCTACTTAATGAAGACGACCAGGAGAATAGAAAACTGGTAAATACTTGACGAAACAAAATGGCTGCATTGTTACCGCGATGCACGCTGCGTAATCAAGGTTGCTTGGGCTTGTGGCAGTATGGGTTTTTGGTAAAAAATGTTTTAATTCAGTTGTTTAATTCTGTTAGCCTACAATTATTGTTTGACTTCATGTGGGTAAATATTATAATTTTTTTTTTCTGTAAACTTAATCAAATTTATATTAACGCAAATGTGGTTGCTAAACTGACCAGTCGACCATGTTTGTTTTGGTCATGTGGATAACTTAACGCTGATTAGCGCACTCTCGTTTACGTTAATTTTCGTTGTCAACGAAGTCTATTTTACGAACCAGTCAAATGAAAATAATACTCAACAAAAAATCGTAGTCAACGAAATGAACCAGTCGAACAAGCTCAATGATATAATTTTATAGGAGAATGTTCACTAAAATATAATATATAATATGTATATGCATATATGACTTACTAGGATTCAATCTGTTGAAATCTCACTTCCATGTTTTATTTTTTTCTTAACATTTTTTTATTACCTTGGTAACGGTTTTAATAATGATCGTTTTTAATATATTTACTAAAATATAATATTTAAATTTATATGCAATAAATTATTTTATGATTGATAAATATGTTGTCAGTATTAATTTATTTCACGTGAAATATTAAAATGATTCACAAGCTAGTGTAATGGTCAGTGTAAATTCTAATGAGCAGCAAGCGTGTGTAAATTTGGCTACGCAGTGTGTCAGAACCAAACGAAGGTAGACAGCTATGGGTGATTACATTTTTCAACCGGATTAAAATTGTATGTGCGCTCAAAATAGATGCTCAATTCAGATAATGAGAGCGAGTGTGTGTATGAATTGGGCAACAGCACACTGCATCCAAGCATGGAGGAATTAGTTTAGCCAATCAACGATGGACAGTTCCAGGTTTTCAACTGGAATATAATGATAAATGCTGTCACTGGAGAAAGGCCCCTTGTATATTGTATGTACAAACTTTATTTAATAGACATCAATCTAAAACTACTACAGTACTACTATAATGCAAACGAAGGTATTAGCCATTAACCGTCAACACAGATTACATTACATGGTATTTAACAAATCACATAATGCATAAAGTATACAGTGGCCCTTTGATGGTGAACGCATACGTTATACAATCTAAACTTCAGTACTGTAGTCTCATTATTAATCACTGCTGATTGTGTAAACCTCACATTTGTTCTAATTTGTAGCAAGATGCATTGTGAGGTAACTATAATCAGGGAAGTATACATTGCTCCTATAATTACTTCATCTTCTCATAAAGAACCGTTATTGGATTGACGACTGTGGCATTATGCAAACATTGCAATTTGTATCGAGCTTAATGACGCAGGTCGAATGACACTCAAACGCCTGTGTACCCTGAAAGCATGCCCTTTTGCTCTGCTCAATTTTTGTTGATTTACTTTTGGTCATGTGTCTTATGTCACCATTAGTGGGCTCTTGTGCCTGAACAAATACATCGGAAGCGTTAAGAGGTTCATACGTTTTGGAGTATTTATAGATATCGGATCACAAAATACATGTATCAAGTGTTATTTTTGGCTGTGCCTAATATATTTTTATAGAGAGTAGTAGACGTATATCATCTATTTGCATTCAACATCAACAATAAGAATAACCACAAATTGTAGGCTCATAAAGACATGTTACTTTTTAAACTGTAAAATCGATAGACAACAGTTAACAGATCTGCACGAGGAAACAATGGATCTCAGTTTAGACACAAAATTAATAAGCGAAGGCTAAAAATGTATGTTATATATATTAAATAATTATATTTTTTTTAAACAGGGTTGAAATATTTCGTTCCTCTTAAAGACATTGGTGTGTCCGATATAGATTAATGTGAATGAAAGAATTATTAATAATACCGTAGAATAAGTGTATGATATACACATGATTATATTTTTCGCATATACGGTACCGTATATTATTTTCCACATCAAACAATGTTACCATGTTCATAAAGATGCTTCCGTATTATTATCCCTGTCAATCAATGTACTACAGTATGTCTTATGTTTGCAACATATTCTGTATTCTGTTCTTTGTGGTGACATACACATACATGTTTTGTTCAAGGTACATAGGTATGACATCATGCTTATAATTTTTTCGTTTCGTTTATGCATTTTTACATAAAAAAAATAGTCGGCTTCCTTAGAAAAATACACACAAACAGATAACTATAATAATGGTAAAATTGGAGGCAAAAGTAATATATAGGCCTATTTATATTTGTATGAAATAGATAGGCATAATCAAAGTAGTATAAAACTAAAATTATCTTCTAGTTGTTGGAGATACAATAACATTTAAGGTATGAGATGGGCCTCATGTTGATCTGTTTTAAACAGTGATTGGGCCCATTACTCCATGTATCCGCCATTGAATTACAGCCCTATTGCAAAATTGTCTCTAGTCATTGTGGGCTTATAGGCCTGCCTATATATTATTAATTAGTTTTCTATTCTATCAGTTTGGAGTTGGTAGTCAATAATAAATATAACACTACAGATACTTAACGTGTACATAAGTTAAGTCCTTCCCGTGTTTCTCATTGTAAAGAATATCTATTAACCGGTTGTGTCGCGTCCCGATACCATAATTAAAAAAAGAAAATAATTTCTAAAGATAGTTGATTCTAGGCTACAGTATTGTGATTTGAAGCAATATCAAACACATTAACAATACAATGTTTATTGAAGGTCTCCGATGCGACATGGCAGTTCATCGATAAGCAGTTATGGGATTTTTTAAAGGTGCCTTCCGTTGCCAAGGCGATTTGTCTTGTCTGAGACGGTATTTTCTAATTGCACTGACTTTGATGAAGTACCTCATAAACCAAATTATTGGAATTTATTAGTCCTTAAATAAAATAATAGTTGTGATATTAGGATTCGCTGTTTCTTTGAATTAGATAAAACAATAAATTATATCCGTTCAGCTAATGCCATTTTCCTTCTGTTTTCACTCACCATTTGCTTACGGGTTAAAACTACCACTTCATACATAGCCCTATCATATTTCTTCTACATTCCTATATTTAATAAATCTTTAAAATCTTGTTGTTATTACAATTGTAATCAATTTTATTAATCATCAATATCATCATTGTCATCATCATAATTCTATTTATTATTTCTTATTTTATCAACTCGAAATATAAATAACATCAAAATTGCACAGAAAAATAAATAAAAACACTAACTTAACATGATCAAGATAGAAAATTATACCAATTATAAAATATATAATAAAAGTTGTTAAATAATTATCTATCTGTTTATTTTAACTACAATTATGATTACCATTATTATTATAGGCTTATATATAATAATAATAATAATAATTATTATTATTATTAGGCCTATTATTATTATTATTATTATTATTATTATTATTATTATTATTATTGGCATATATAATTTATTTAGAGAATGAGATAGGCCTATGCTTCAATTTACCTTAATTATTACCTAGATCATTAACGGTTTATATTATAACAATACTAGTCACACATTTTGATGTCACTCATTGAACAGAGTGCATAATTATATGAATAATGGTACGAAATATAGGACAGACTCCTCAAAGTTTACATAGTACTCTGTCACGTGTACAAACACGTTGACGACGCAACACCGAACAATCGAACCTTTATCATTGACAGAACTTCCATGGACAAATTACTACTGGACTTAAAGTGGTTAAGAAAGCATACAGGTAAGTTGTTACCATGATAAAAATTATTTTTATTTTTTCATATATTTTCACATTCTTCTTCCTTTTCTCAAGCAATTAGCTTCATCCAAGTATTTTTTCGTTTCTTCACCAGTAATATGAGGCCAGCATTTAAGAAAGAAATTACCGTACGTTCCTCTGCTTTATCTCTTAATTTAATCGAACATTTTAGAAAAAATCTTTTGACCAATAGAAAAATAGTGAAATCTCTCCTACACAATCGGATTTGATAGGCCTAATAAAAATTAATCCACCAAAACACATTGTTCGTTGAAATTTGATAGGCCTATTTTTTTTAGGAATGTATTGTATAATACAATATTTTCTGCAATAGGTTGTTTTCTTATTCACGTAATTTTGATAAATTTGACATATATACCATAAGAGCTAATTGTCATAAATCTCTCCTGAAGCATTTAGCAGGTATCAATTGAGAGGAACAATGACTTTTACAGGACTTTATTCGTTAAGAAGCTACAGGGTAGCCTGCGATGTTCCATCATGTCCTTATTGAAACACTGTATATGTACCTTTGGTGATTTATATTATATTTATTCAACAGTGTTAACGGCTAACTCCCTTCAATATCATATATTAATATATATACAGTATTTGTGGTATAAGGTTCAAGATCGTCTGGAGTAGAGTGCTCGATACCGGGTTAGAGCTAAATAAAAAATAAAACGAATGCAAATCCTGATTACTTCATATTATTTAATTCCACTACAGCATTGTTTCGTATGGTTGGCATTTTGATAAGATGGTAATAAGCAGCACGTATATTCCCAGCGAAATATATGTAAATACTTAGACTAAGATTAAATAATCACAAGAAATCTGTTAAAGATAGGAGCAAAGGGTTTCCTGTAAGCATATAATACCTCCATGCTGTAAGTGATCACTTTAACTCACAGGGACAATCCATAGATAATCTACGTTTTATTATATTAGGCTGTAACTACAAAGCTATTAGAAATAGACTTCGCTCCGAATTACGTTGGATCATGCGTATCAAATCACAGATCTAGGCTTTGCTAGTGGTTATTATACATTCACTAAGAATTAATCCCTTAATCACCCAAGTGGTCTCCGATTATGTAAGATAAACTGTGTATGCATTGTTTCACTTCACCCAGTAAATATTTTCTACTGTTGTCTCATTCATGTTGAGAAAATCCTGGGGACAGGACGAAATATTCGTGCCTATAAAATTATGTTCCTATAATACGTCAACTGTGTATGATTTTTATCGTATCAATGTCTATATTTACATATATATATACATATACATATATTTATTTATATATATGTATGTATATATATGTATACATAATATATATACATATATATATATACATATATATATACATATATATATAAATCATATATGAATATATACACATATATATAATACATATATACATATGCTCTGCTATATACTGCATTGAGCACTCTTGTCTACATGATCTGGTTTAAGCCAACCACGCAGATTATACATACATATATATATATATTATATGTACAAGAAATCAAGCAAGAAAAAAGAGTAGAATTTGTTTAGTACGTAGACACTTCTACATGTTATAGTACTACAGTAGTATTAGTATGTTATTGTTATTGTTCGTGATCGTTATCTTTAACACTATTATTATATATTGTTATTATATTTATCATTATAATTATCATTATTATCATTTTATTTACAGGACTACATTCGTAGAGATCTATCCTACACGATGTATTATTATGTCCTTTATTCATAGCTCGCAACGAATGTAGTCCTGTAAATAAATGATCATATATACATAATCAAAATAAATGATCACATATACATAATCAAAGAAAGGTAAATACAGTGTTCGAATAAAGGACATAATAATACATTGTGTAGCATAGCTTGCAACGAATGTAGTCCTGTAAATAAATGAATAAAGAAATTGTGTAATAAAATTCCTCTGGCGGGACTCGAACGTGCGACCTCTCGCTGTCAAGGCGAGCGTCATAACCATTAGACCACGGAGGCTTCATGGTTAAACAGATTCAAATACCACCAGATACACTCCATTACACAATAAGTACGGCTAGAAACAAATAATAGCATAATATATATATATATATATATATATATACATATATATATATTATATGTACAAGAAATCAAGCAAGAAAAAAGAGTAGAATTTGTTTAATACGTAGACACTTCTATATGTTATAATACTACAGTAGTATTAGTATGTTATTGTTATTGTTCGTGATCGTTATTTTTATCATTACTATTATATATCGTTATTACATTTATCATTATAATTATCATTATTCTTATTATTGTTATCATTGAGTATTATTATAATTAATATTATTATTATTATCATTTATAATATTATGATGGGCCTATCAGCATGATTACGGTATTTATTAATTCAGCTGGATGTTGGGTTTCGTTTCGAAAATACAATTTTCATCTCATGAATTAAACAAGTAAAAGAAATCATAATAACATTATCGCCTTACCATTGTATATGTGCACAGTTACTGAACACCTAATGTAACTTCCGTCAATGAATCGCAGGTACCCCTCAACGCAGGTGTTTTATTGTCACGTGTTAAGTCACGCTTAATTTGCATATCATATTCACTTCCTTAGCAACCGATCGGTGAACAATTAATGTTTTGTGATGTTGGCGGCACGCTTCGTTGACGAATTTAGGGAAAATTTTGTAACTTTTTTTCAATACGAAGATATCAGTGCTATTCTTGTATTGTAATTGAAACAGATTAAGCTAAAGCAGCCATGTTTGATCTATAAGCATTCAGGCAACCATTGCGAGACGTAGGCCTACAATAATAAACACCGTATCACCTGTTTGGCTCTTTAAAGGTGAGCGCTAGCCCTGTTAATTATATAATTTCCGTCGTAATAATTGTAGACTCGTGTGTACGGTATGTGCTAGATGCCCGAATGGGTATATAATTTAAGCAGACGTTCTATTTACAAACATTCCTGTAGGTTCTGTTTCTCGGTGATATATTCCATTTTGACTATACATACGTTTTGATCATAGTTATATAATAATCATTATCGTTGCATAATATACTTGTGTCTAAAATAATATATGCTTATACATTACTCTCGGTAGCGTATGTGGAATGGTATTTTAGAAATAGGCCCACCGAAGCAATTTTATGGTTATATATAGATCGAAGGGGCTCACGTTTATCTCCTGTTCTATGAATGATATATCTAGGCCTGATGCGTTCTTTTGTGATGATGTTATAATAATGCTGATAAGATGAATAATGATGGTAAATTGTGATGATGATAAATGATAATGATGATAAATGATAACTGGTAATGATAATGATGATAACGATGGTTATGATGATGATGTTGATAATGATAATTATGAAATAATGATGCTGATAATGACGACGATGGTGATCCTGATGATGGTAACATGATAATGTGGCGATACAATAATCATGATGTTATGATGATAAAGTTGATACCGTAGTGATGATAAGTGATAACGAGAAAGGGATGATGAATGATAATAATTATTATTGATGATTATAATAATGATAATGATGATGATAATGGTAATGGTGATTACGGTGCTGAGTGAAAAAGAAACGCAGCACCAACCATGTAATACTAATAGTGCCTGTCAAATCAGCATATATTGGACATGTTTAGTATTAAAAGGGCTATTGGCCTCTATACATTACTACTGTAGTTTCAGCAGTCGTTAAATAATTCTTAGCAATGCATAATAATAATGATCTCCCATGTCGTACCTCTGTTATGTCAATATGTTTACACATCTCGATAAAATATTCCTAATTTTAAGATGCATCGTATTTATAGCTGGCCACACGCATTTTATTATATTTGGACTACATTGAATAATGAATATAAGAATAATGCACTAAAAATTGCAAACACAGTAGAATCCCACCTTTAGGACACCCCTATTCAGGGGATACCTCTATTCAGGGGATACCCCTATTAAGGTTACACTTTTCCGTGAAACGAGGGGCAATGTATCTTTTAACACTAAGGCCGACCCCTATTAAGGGGACACCCCTATTAAGGGGACGAGGACACTTTCTGAGTGTGCCAAATGGTCAAATAACTCCTATTAAGGGGACACTTATTTTTTTTTATCATTGTATCACAACTACAGCAGTCTCAAAGTAAGACAAATTCATTCAACTTCATATTTTAACGCCTTTTGAGCAATAAATCAAAATTTTATCCACTGAATCTCCTTAGAATAAACGTCAGTGTAGGCCTACTGAATACTGTGTTACTTCATATTAGCCAATCTTGTCAATTTTGACACCGAACCATGGCGATTTTGTTTCCTTTGTTTTTGGTGTACTTTCATTTATGATTCTTCCTATAACATGCACCATTAATTCCAAGTCGTTACTCTATTCATGCTACATTCATCCAATAGAAAGCTCAATATTTTAAATAAAAAAAGGAATATTTGGTCATTAATATTGCATCATGCAATAATATTGGGAACATTTTATTATTATTATTATTATTTTATTATTCATATCATTTTTACAGCGCCATTTCTTTGTAGATAAAAAGCGCTTCGTTTCCCCTGGTTATTGGGTCCTCATGTTTTAAGTTTTGTTCTGGTAAACATTGCAGAAGTAGGCTACCCTACCAGCTACCCATTTATACTCCTGGGTGACGAGAACCCATGCAGTGATGGTTTAATGAAATTGGGAGGGCATAACAAACACCATACAGGCCTGCATGGTCTACCTACGAGCCCGACAAGACAGGTAATTACAGGAGAAGCAATGCTGATAAAGTACCTTGCTCAAGGACTTTTTGTTCTAAAAAATTAGAATTGAAAACAAAAAATTTCAAAACCTTTTCCTACTGTAGTTTGGAAACAAGGAAACCTCTCCACAGGACCATTGCTAATGTGGAGGTGACGATGTTTGGATGGAGAGAACAATACCCCTAAATTGCATCTGGAGAAGGTTACTACATAAAAGAAGACTTGGGTTTTAAAGACACCGGGTGGTGAATTTTATTTATAACATGGAGAAAATATATTATAGGATATCATAGAAACGGGTGCTGGATTTGGGAAGTGGATTTTTAAAATGAACGTGCCTGATTTGAGGATAGACGCAGGATTGAAGAGGTGCTGGATCTGTGAGACAGTAGGCCTAACGTGTCTAATATGAAAAAGAGGGTCCCTAAATTTGAGAAGGGTGGATTTCAGAGAATGGTGGTGGACTTGAGAGTGGAGGGCTGGTAGGATTATGAGATGCATTAAGTAGGGGTAATGATTTGAGAAATAGGTTTAAAACTCGGTTTCTATACAATCGCTCACCCCGTCGCCGACAGTCGTCGACAGTTGTCAGGAAGGTTGAACCTGGTTCAACTTTACCGATTGCGCTGCAGGCGAATCGGGGTGCTTTCCCGATTGCGTCGGGACAAATAGCAATGCACCCTATTTCGTCTGCAACGCAATCGGCGAAGTTCAACCAGGTTCAACCTTCCAGACTACTGTTGGTGACTGTTGCCGATAGGTTGGGCGATTCGAGGATCGGAGCGATTCCATAGAAACCGAGCCTTACAATTAAAGGGTGGTCTATTAGTACCGGTATGTTATAGACTTGGGAGTGGGCGATGAAGTGAGAGTGGGAGTGGGCGATGAAATTTAGAGATAGTGGTTGGTATGAATTTGAGAGATACTTTAGTGGACTTTAATGATAAACTTGAAGGAAACGTGGTGGATTCGAGATTTGGTGCTGGAATTTAGGGAGGGTGATCTGAAATGAATTTGAGAGAGGAGTGATAATTTCGAGGGGTGCCGGATTTTAGGGAAGGGTTGATGGATCTTAGGGTTGCATAATTTGAGAGAGGAGTGCTTGCTTTCAGAAAAGAATGTCAACTTTGAGAGGGGTGATAAATTTTAGGCAATAATTTGAAAGAGCAGAATAGTCGAGTTTGGAAAGTGTCTGTAATTTTGAGAGAGGTAGATTGAAAACAAAATCGTCAAAACCTTTTCCTACTGTAGTTTGGAAACAAGGAAACCTCTCCACAGGACCATTGCTAATGTGGAGGTGACGATGTTTGGATGGAGAGAACACTATATATACCCCTAAATTTACATCTGGAGAAGGTTACTGCATTAAGGAGGGGTTAGGAAAGGGTCTGTAGATTTGGAAACAAGGAGATTTAATTGATTCTGGATATTGGAAAAGAGTGAAGTTCAAAAAGAAAATTATTCGTCGTATTGGTATGCATTTTGCAGAGAATGTAGGCCTATTTTTCGATGTGGATGCTAGCTCCCTCTGTATTAGCTAATTACAGACAGCACGTATGATTTGACAAATATTTGCTTAAGATTGAATATTAAAGGAGGAAGTTGTTTAAATGAAAATCTAATCAAAACACTGCAGCGGTAAAAACATAAATGTCGACAAGTTATACTATCTTTGCTTACTTCATAAATATTACGTATAAATAGCCTATAGCATTTTTTATTAGCGTTTTTATTAAAAATATATATTTTTTTTAATTTAGGACAATATTTCGATGAATCTTTGACTTGATATCGATCGAAGGCCACGGATGCAATGGGTTTTGATATACTACAACGATGCAAACACAGATCGATGTTTTACGAATCGAAGACACACCTATTGTGCGATAGGATGATTGCAGCAATTTAGTCATCTCGCAAAACGGACAGATTCAGGCTCAAACGAACAGGAGAGCAATTAACTCTGGAATGGCGGATATGAACAACGCGTTGAAAATTACATCAACGCGGAAGGATCGCAAGTACCGCCGTAACATGACGGAACCGTCTGTTCTACCGTCCATTCATCATACCGAATTAAAAACAGGGGCTGTATATCTTAATAAATTACTCGACAAGGATAGAGAACATAGTGAACATGGACTTCCCGTAGCTAAAAGCTTAGAACTCCCAAGTCGATCTCTTCCCGCTATATCCGACATGCAACATGTCACTGCTTATGATCTTCCACAATTCCCGAAACGAACATTTCCGATTCCCCGGAAGAATTGCAAATTAGCACCGCTCAGTAGAAAACGTTCTGATAGTTTAAATAGCAATGATGGACGGAGCATCAATGTCTTGGAAAGTCGCTCTATTGTACTATCAAAGCGAAGGGAAGACGGAAAAAGACTACTTGAGCCTATTGGTAAAGATAAAATGGATGAATTCCGGCGTTGGCACTTCTCTTTACAGCTAGACGACAATTTCGACAAAAGTGCGCCTCCAAAAACATCTAATGTAACAAACCAGGATAATAAAATGCTCAATCAGGAAGCATCGAAATCAGAACTGAACAATACGAAATTATCAAGCTCTCCAAACAACAGAGAGGACTATCATGATAAACGATTAGTACATTCTGCACATGACCAAAATCGGACGGATAACTTAAACTATGAAGTGAAAAATAAATCGTATATTGTTTACACGATGACAACACCCGAAAGAAAGCGAATCGAGGATTGGTTAGAAGATTGTTTAAATTCCAGAAACGATTCCGGTAACCATTCTGACGATGAGTTTATTGAGGTCGTTAATCAAACTAATGTTGCTTCCGATTGTACCAAAGGAAACGGGCTTGATACAAACCTTAAAGATGACGAAAGCTGTATACAGTGAAATTAGTGAACATTCAGAATAGTTGCTGTTCAATTTTAGATTAATTATATTTATTTATTGCAATGGACTTAGTTCGATCTTTAATAAAACTTTATATTGTACAGAGTGGGTATAATATTGAAAATACTGTATTAAATATATAAAAATATATACACATTATTCGAGATCCCGAATATCCTATACATACTGTACAGTATTTCAAATAAACAAGTATTAATCTGCTGCCATATTATGAAGTGGAATTTTTAACATGGTTGTTAAGCCTGGTTTACATATAATGGCTTTCTGCGATGCTGATTAGTCGATCGAATCGGGGAGCTTCCCCGGGTGTAGCAATTTTACGGAAATAATGGCTTTAACATTCTTGCCTTCCCAATATTTCCATTAGGGTTTTGCGGCCAAATAAACATAACAAATATTTATTTTTTTTTCTATAATGACGAAGGCACCTCTTCTAAACTTAATTGAGAGGAGATACCCAAGTGATTTATATAATTGGTACACTATTAAGAATTCTCACGGATTATATAATAACTATAACGATAATGTTGCAACAAGTCAGACAGGTCCATGGTATTTAACACTAACAAATTTAGAATAACCTCACTCTCGAATAAGCACAGTAACCTTAAAACATTTAATAAGGGCTACTACACACTGTTGCGGTTAATAAACTTTTTAAAATATTAGGTTTGCATTGATTTTTATGTTGTGTGTTGATCCAAAAACTCAATGTTTGAATCAAGAACTTTTAAATGTCTTTGTTTTAATTTGTAGGCATATAATAAAGTTTTCAACAGAGAATTATAGAATGAGAAAATATTTTTTTCGTTACACACATAAAATACAATACGCACTCCACCTTTAAAATTCGAGACCACCTTTCGGACCTCAAAAGTTGGGGTGGTCTAGTTTCAGTCTCCAATTAAAAGGTTAGCTTTGTGTTAAAAGATTGAAGATTGTGATTTGGTTCTTTGAAAAAGTTGTCTCAAAGTAGAGGGGTCTTGAAGCAGAGGGTGTACTGTACTGACAACTAAGACTAATCAAAGCAACCAATGTCTGAATAACTTGCGTCTAAAAATCAATTTAAAAGTAAACATATATTTTGGTTTGAAGTTTGGTTCACAGTTTCTTACAGATGTCTCACAAAATACTAATCTACTGGGAATGTTCTTTCTCTAGTTTTTAGCAATTAAAATCAACCTCAATATTTCTAATCAACAGAAAGCATTCAACTGAGACGGGTCTATCAAATGTTGTTTCATAAATTTTGGTTTAAAACCTGAAGACAATAACAGAATTTAAAGTAGTTCTTTTAATATTTTTTGTGGTTTATTAATAAATAATTATTCATTTCTACCATCAATTATGGACGCCATACATATCCCCATTATAATGCAATACTCTCTGATGTGAATTAGTGTAACAAAATATCATCATGAGAGATTCGCTGGAAGCGTGGATCAGCATTTTAACGTCATTCTGATAACATGTAGCTTGATCTTGTTCGATCTTAGCATGATCTTACTGATACAGTAGTAGTAAATTTCAGCGACACGATTGCGATCTGCAATCTCAATCTCTCCACCTATGCCCACATTCAAGGTTGCAACACTTGTAGAATGTCGTCATCGGCTCATCAGCTGACCTTGTTTGAATTTGCATAAAAAATGCTCTAGGATGATCACATTTTGGACATTTTTCTGATAAGATAAAAAAAATTTGCCTAATGAATACAAGAAAGCTATACTGTGCATGGCATATCTAGCGGGGGTGCAGGGACGTATAAAAAGCTCGCTTTCCTCAGTCTCTCCACACTGGATATTCTTGAAGCAATTACGCTAAGCAGATAAAAATCAACCCATAACAATTTACTTTGACAGCTATTCCCCCGCCACCCCTAACTTTATCATCAAGCCCTTCCACTACATCATCCATCAATGGGTCCTTCCTGAGTGTCAGTCAAGTTTATCTATTGACAAATCAGAACAGGGCCTGGAACACCTGCATCTAGATGCATTTATTTTTCGTTAGTCAAAAATTTATCATATCTCTGCGGTTATCGTTTGCCTTACCTTCTGTTGAGTCCACATTCTCCCATGCTGAGGCTCCACCGAGGACATCATCTAGTTCTTTTAACTTCGGGTAAACTTTACTAGAAATCTGTAACAATTAGAGAACATACGAGAATTTAATTTTTTCTTCATGTCAAAATACATGATGTATAGGCATTTGGCTACAAATTGTCCATCCCCAACACTTATATTTTATTCGTGTCTGAGCTGAGGCCTACTTTTTGATTCAATATTTTTTCTTTGATAGAGAATAATTAAATACAACGAATCGAATATTTTGAAAAATGAAACTTATAAAGAAATTTGCAATTTTCTTGTCACAAAACAAAACTGAGCAATGCATTCCGCTTTTTTTATAAACTTTTTCACAACTGAACATCCATTCTCGGACTCGGAAGACTTGTTGTGATCGTTAACAATTTCATTTGATTGCTGTCCCGTTATTTTTAATTCGGTGCAAATTAACAATGTAATGTGTCTGTAATAATAATAATAACAAAACAAAAGTATACCAAGATCTTGCCTAGGCTAGGCCTAGCCGCCATCTCCCGTCGTTGGTTCCAGTCATGCGGCGGCGCTGCGTACATTGCCGCAAAGGTCATTCTGGGTCACAATCAATCCATGAGGCCTAGCTAGGTCTGGATGTGATGAGTAAAGCTAAGTGATCTTACCTTTCTTTTAACGTTATGTATAAACGGACAAGTGTTACATGAAAACCGTAGGCACTGCGGACCTTCTTCTACAACAAGAACATTTCCACAGGTAGGACAGAACATAAACATTGTATATTCCTAGGCTAGGCCCCTGTCAGCTGTGAATGATTCTGAGCAGGGAGCTTGACTCTCGCGCATTAAGGAATGAGCACGCCCTCACGGATCTAACAACAAAACTGTTTTCATGTTTTTTGGGGGCCTAGCCTATATGAACTCTTTGTGACAGTACTGTAGGTACTTCTTCAATCTCCGGCTAAGCCTTCTGACCACACATATAATTAGCCAGGAAATGGCAATGTTAAACGACTTTTATTTTTGCGTTCTTGGTGTAGTTTAAATAACGTTAGTAATACTACTAACTAATAGGCCTAGTCGTCCTCGTCTTCTTAAAATCTTACTCATAACATTTCCATCATGTCGTTCTTGAAAATTTACTTAGTACCATCAAAGATGGATGTAGATAGTTCACCACGACAGATAATGTCAATGGAAGACTCACTGAAAGAAAATACAGAAAAGGATAGGATGGAAGAAGAAGACCCATTCTCAAAAGAAATGCCTCACCAGGATGCTATGAAGGTGATCAAGGAGGGCATTGAAGAGGCTATTGGTGATGATCCTCTTCTTTGTGACCTCCCAACTGATGTCACCCCAGAGGAAGTCAGTCTTCAAGTAGCCTTAGAGTACGGACAGGCTATGCTTGTCAATGTGTGTAGAGAAGATGGAGAAGTAATGCGTAAGATTTGTTACTGTCTTTATATTATATAATATTACTATATTTTTTATTAAATGTCTGAAGGTGTAATGACAGGGATGTGGATATGCTTTCTCTAAATAAAAAGGTTTTTGTGCAGGTTTCACAGGTTATGAAAGTGAAAGTATAATCATCATTTCTTATTAAATAGCATTCTTTCATCCGCATAAAAATATATCACATATTGGATTTACAACTAAAATGTATACTTCTGGGTGATGATCAATCATCTAGTGCCTTTCCCAAATACTCAAGCAATCATAAATGGTCTTAGACTAATGACCCTCCAGATTGAGAGAGTTCAAAACAACATTGATTTATATTAATACATTATAATTGAGCACTTTTAAATTGAAATTATGTGTTTATTTTTAGCTATTGTTGTTTTGCAAGGAGCTTCCGTTCTTGATCTGAAGAAAGCCATTGCTCGTTACATCAGCCTGAAATTCAACAGGGAGGGAATAACTAAGTCTGTCAGTTGGTAATGTTACACATACTCATTCATATTGTATATTGGGTTTGATTAACAATCGGAACATTATTTCTCTCCAATATTAAATTTATATAAACTAAAACACTCATCAGATGGGTTGTTATTATGCATAAGTGTGTATATGCTAATTGAATATTTGAGGATCTGCTGTAGTATATTTTATACCTTTTACAGATGCTTGATTATGCTTAGAATTAACATAGTGAATACCTCTATTTATGCCCCTATCCTTCTTGACAAACACTATTGTGCAAAGTACCCAACCATTATGTTATGTTGTATCAGGGTTTTTAGAGTGTTGATCTTGCCTTATTTCTTATAGGAGGTTTGTGTGGAGACGTTACTGGCTGTCATTTGGAGGGCATAATTTGACACAAGATAATAAGCTAATTAAAGAGTAAGTTTTTATGTTTTGGAATTTCTACCCATGTACAATAATTCTTTTGTGATGACAGAAGCAATGATTATTTAATATATTGGTTTTAATTTTTAGTAATTTTAATATCTCAATAACGATGCCTTATGTCAAGGTTATGTTTAAGATGTTGTAATTATGGTAATTAGTCTGTATGGTTGGTCAACACACCTTTAATTATTTTTTCTTTACCCCTTAGTTATGGCATCAAAAACAAAGATCCAGTCACATTTGTCAAGAGGTTAAAGGGAAAAGGTGCAGGATACTAAGCGTAGATGGTGATCACATGACTATTTGTAACATCGGATTGCATTTAATAATTTGCTGAGGTTGGTGCTACATTGCTATAAATGGGTCAAATGCCACCTGACTTGTTTGGATTGCAGGTACCATTTGGAAGATAAAGTAAGCATCAGATGGTCAATGGTGTATTAAAAGTCTGAAAGTATTTTCAACTTTAAGACATTCTTGCATTTAAATGTCTGCTTGGTCTTAAATTACCTGGTCGATTTACAAAATCAGGTATAAGAGAAGTTTGAATTTTTATGCACAATTGCTTGTTAAGCCAACAAGGCTGCGAGTAGAATACATGAATACTTGTAGCAGCATGTCTATGTTGGCCGCCAATATGTACTGACGCATGAGTGATTCTATTCTAGCATCGCGTCGTCGCACAAACCAAAAGCTCCCTAATGAAGTGAAGTATGTACTGTATTTATATTTGGTAGTGTATTTTTATTCAAAAGGAGAAAATAAATGTAAAATGTACAGTATTATAACTCGTCAGACTTCCAATTGAATTTTAAGATTACTGTTAATGTTTAAAGAGGCAATCATACTCACAATCATTTAATTTTAACATATTAGTTGGCAGGTCTTTATTTAAATGAGGCCACAGCCTAATTTGCTACTAAGTACAAGGAAGGGAGTAACTCAGACTGTTTACATTTTTACAGGACATAAAAGGATTAATGCAGACTCTTATTTGAAATAAATGTATGTATTGAGTCAACAAAGAAAATTTGTTAATTTGTGTTTTATTCCAACCATCTTCACCTTCTCGTATTCTAAAGATCATTAAAAATACATTCCTAAATAAATTCTCATTTTACCCTGAAAAAATACATTCTGTAAGACTGCTTCTAATGTAACATACTTGCAGCATCACTATGTTTAAGCATTCTTAATTATACTTTTTACCCATGATAGTAAAAAACTGAAATTTTGTTAGTGTACACAAAACAGACTAAAATTATTCAACAGCACACACATGCATTAATTCATTATCACCAATAGAATCTAAATATGAACATGATTGTGGACTACTGTACTGTACATCACAGTCAATCATAGCTTGGAAATCTCAGGATGTTTAGATTTTACAAAGGATGAATGTTAAATTAACATCTGAGATTGACACTAATAATACATCTATATTATGATTCTTAATTACTCCAACATATAATAACTACTGTACTGTCTGTATTGAAATTAAAATATAATATTCAAATTGTTTTATATTTGAAAGTAAAATGCAGATTTAGCTTCCAATTGTATTGATCTGTGTCACTTTGGATGTTGATAATTTATTTTATCATTTTAATTACGCACTTCATTTTTTTTAAACTCTGAGGTATTTCCAACACAGACATTATTATTTAAATAATAAATTAATTTCATGCAGTTAGACCAAAGAAACTTGCTGTTCTGTAATTCCTTTGCATGGAAACTACAATAAATACTAGGTAATAATTATTCAAATCCTTAATGTGCAAGCAATGCATTTCTTTTCCTGACTGTTAGTTCTCCACAAAAAATATTGCATTCGGAAATGGTCAATGTTTACCCACTGGCTTATTTTCTCTACTAAATAATTAATTAAAAAAATTGCAATAATATATAAGTATTAATAACAAGTACAGTGCACCCTCTTATTCGAGACCGAACCCGAGACTACCCCAAATTTTCAGATCCCAAAGTGGTCTCGAATTGAAGGGCGTGTCTTGTACTTGTACACCAAATAAACTTTCTGGTATAGATTCACTACTAAATAAAACATTAAAACATACAAGAAATACAAATAGAAATACGAACACTCACCCTTGGCCTATCTTCACTACTAAATAAAACAATTATGAATAATGATAGACTTATAATGGCAATAAAATTGATAACAAATTCTGCAATTGAATATGATACCATAGTATTTGGACTTGCAGAAGTATATGAATATATATATTAAGTATGCATTTCTACAACTATATAATAAATACACTATAAATAAGTGTATGATTTAAAATACTAATGTAAGTAAATAATATTACAATATTAAATAATGCCATCACACCAACCTTTTTTGCAACATTCTTAAAATGAATACTGTGTTACAAACTCTGTTTAGTAGGTTATTTAATTAATCCATTACTTAATTCATGACTAATTACTGAACTTTAAATTCAGTGGTACACACTACCATCCGTTGGTACACAACAGCATATCGCAGCAACAAAATGAAAAAGGAATTTATAGGGGTACGTGTTTAAGAGAAACGAATACAGCCGAGAAACTGGAAATGGAGCCACTAGCTGCCCATAGAATATGCATTTAAGCCTAACGGCTTAACCGTCGGAAATGTAACTTAGACTATTGCATTAAAACTTTTAATACTGTACTGTAGTATTTTATAGTCAAACATTAAATATATATGCACCCTATATGAATTGATAAATAGCTGTCTGCATCAAGTTTGCACAATAAAAACAACATTTTTTAGGAACAGGCCAATAAATCTACAAAGCAATTTTGTCTAAAAACCAGGAAACAAGTGTACACATGTCTCCTAATAAAATTTACTGTTAGTTAGTTTTTTTAAAGCACCAACATTTGAGTTACACTGATACAAACTTTATGATTGGCTAGTTAATATGGGCCAGCTTCTTATTTATTATCCCAGGCTTTTCGATAAATTTCTTACCCTGTACAATTGGTAATGATGTTGTATTTTGAGTACATGGGGCTTGCCATTCCAAAACCAGTATCAGTTACCAAAAATGAAAATTTACTTTTTATTTTCTTATTCTCCACATTATAAGCTTTAAAATGGTGGGTCATTTACTGCAATCAACTTACTGTTGCCAAAGTTATGAGTAAAAGCTTACAGCTTCTCTGTACTAAAGTATACATATACATTCTTATGCTAATTACTCTGGTTTTGGGATGGCAAGCCTCCATTCCCTTGCAATCAATAAAATAGTCTACTACAGCAGTGGCGGATCCAGAATTTGTTCGCAAGGGTGGCGTAACAATCAAGGACCTAAGGTCCAATGGGGCAGAATTTATGGTTGAGAGAGCATTGTTTTGGAGTGTTACCTTACCTATTGTGGGGGCCCAGGGACTATGCTTAATGGCAGCTTCAGAGCCAATTTAATCTCTTATCAAAATGATTTGACACTTAGTGATATCATGCCTGCTACTGGAAGTTGGGCAGAGCACCCTTTTTCCCCCCTGAATTCGCCACTAAATTTCTCTAAATTTAATTATATTCAATTGATCATTCCTGATGATGACATAATTAATGTCAAAATATTAAATCCCAACACAATGGCGTGAATTTCAATACTTTGAGTATGTATTGTACTTTTTTATTTGTTTTATCATTTAAAAATTTCAGTCAATTTGAATGAACAAATTGACTGAATTAATTGATAACTTGGGTAACTACTGCCTTCTAGATGTTAAAATCGATGTCTATATGAATCTCATCACCATCTACCATATTGTACCGGCTTAGAGGGAGGGATTCCAAGAAAAGCTCTTCATAATCATCTTCATCTACGACTTGGTTGTTTTTGGAAACATGAAATAGACGCATCACACTGTGAACAAATACCACAAAACTTTTAGAATTATCAATAATATAACCAAACACGACTGATGTTTCAATACATACATAAAATCCAGATGAAAAATATTTTAAAATTTTAATTTATAGTACTTTAAAATTTTCCTGCCAAAATCCATAAGCAACAGTAATATATAAGAGTATATATCTACTAAAAGTTGAGATAGAAACAGTCCTCTTATCATCAGTTGGTAATCATATTACAAGATAAAAGGACTAAAAACTGTGCCACAATAAATCATTTGTGGCCTGTTGGACATGTAGGGTCTTATTTATACTGCGACGGGAAGTCATTTCTGGAAATAACCATTCCTAGAAACCATATTTCATTGTCAGTAGAAACACACCCCAAAATATACTGCATAGATATTTTAATACTTTACAGGTATTCCAGTAAATCTGACTTACTTTTTAGGCATTTTAAGAGTAGCTGCACAAATGTCCTTGAGTTTTCCGACCGACTCCTTAGTTTGGATTTCAATAGTTTTGATGCATTTCTCATCCATCATAAGTGATAGAGTTGCATGTTGCTGAAAACCTTTGGCAAGATCAAGATCCTTGGGTGGGATTACTTTACCTACATGAATAAAAAAAACCTAGTTAAGTAATAGTTAAGTAAAAGTGATAATTTTAGTGAAATGTCGTGTGTTTGATGCTGCAAGTTATTCTCCTACCCTTATCCTTTACCCCTGCCTTTGTTTATGAGCGTATATATCCCGCAAAGGACCTCAAGATCCATTACCACAGGGCAACAGGGGCTGTATGGACCAGTACACCTGGGTAACCCCGTAATTGTCTCGAAAGATGTACTGGGTTCCTTTAAAGTGCACATGAGCCAATTGTGTACACTGGGCCTATGGTTTACAGTCCTTATCTGAGAATACTTGTTCCACCACCAGAACCATAGAGGGTGCTCCTGCCTTAACTGCTTGGCCATTCGACTTGCCCATTTATGTATAACAAGTTTTTAAACCATAAAACACTGCTTCAATTACCATGTTTCTCAATGAGCTTGTAATAGCGGCTTGGTGGGTTAGCTGCATCATTGAAACGTCGGATATAAAATCGCTCTGACCTTTCATGTTCATCTGAGCTGACCTCACTTCCATTAAGTAACATGATATTTGGAAGGCTGCATTTGTCAAAAAAAAAACAAAACATAAAAATATATATAAAACAATGGAAATAATTTAATGAAAGCTGCATGTTGGTGAAGCAAGACAGGTAGCAGGTATGACTTCATCTTGAATATTGGAACATTGTTCAATAAAATACAATACACACCTGGCAACAATTATTTTCCTTCTGTCCTCCATAGAAGTGAATTCACTGCCCAATGGCACATTCTATAAAGAATCCAACAATGTGAACATTATAATCAAATTATTACATATAGTAATCAGGTTGTCTAGCCAAATTTATTTTAAATTTTTTATTATTTCAATAGCTGTTTCAAAAATTAATTGTATTGAAACATTTTTAAAATTAATCGATGAACAGCTAGCATACTATTTTAATTCTTGAAATTTATTTTCCAAATATTTCAGTTGGAAGTATATGTTATAAGTTGTTTTACTGCATTACTCACTCTGATCTTAAAGGAATACAAGCTTGGAAATTTCACAACTTCATCCAAATCTGTCCAACCAGATATCTTCGTCTCACTCATACATAGAGATTCCAGACCTTGAAAAGGAGGTGTGGCCTCCTCAAACTCCTCCTCATCCTGTTTATGATTGGTAGAGTCAGTCGACAATCCATCATTCAATTCAGAGTCTGTGCTACTCTCAGTAAATATTGTATTTGGTAGATACCTTGAATCTGTGGTTTGTTGGCACAGACATGTAGGTTTATCAAGAGTTAGGGAGTGGTTCGGACAAGTTTGCTCCCCGGTCCATGTTTCCGGACTTGACCACTGATGGGTCAGCGATTCTTGAAAATCAGCAGCACATTTGGTTATGAGGTCATCCACAAGCTGACCAATTTCACAATCTTTTTCATCAAAAGTGGAACCAGCACTTCCGTAACAAGAGTCCGAGTCCACAGCATTATTCAACATATTATCTTTCTCTTGCAACAAGAATAGTAAACCATGTTTTTGTTCAATAACTTTGGGGCTATTTGTTGATGTTTGTCGTCTTGGAGACTGCAGCTTTCTTTGTGAATTGTAGACAATGTTCTGGAGTGGATTACCTGACAGAATTAGTGTTTTTAGTGAGCTAATGCCACTTAGTTTTGCAATTTCATCCCACCTGAAAAATATAACAATCAATCACAAATAAAACTCTAAATTAATAAAAAATATGGTTTTTCTTTACCCCTTAGTTATGGTATCAAAACAAAGACTCGGTCACATTTGTTAAGATATTAATATGGGTTTGTATTGATTATGCTAAAAGCTTTCATTAAAATAAATTATGAACCCAACAATGCATAATTTGAGCTTCTGGAAGCCTAAAAATGAAAGAAAATGAATACTGGGTTTGATAAGATAGTACTGTATAATACATACTCCAATTATCGTAATGCATGCCATCATGTCAGGATTCAATATCTCGACATTAATTATGTCATCATCAAGAATGATGATGATCAATTCCTGATGAGGACATAATTAATGTTCAAATATTGAATCCCGATATGATGACGTGCATTTCGATACTGGCTTTGCTTTCAGCTTTTTTACCTTTACTTTGTTTAGTACTGTATATATAATTTATGTTTTTGTTAATTATGCTTTGATATTGATAAGTAAGTAATGTACTCATAAAAGACCATATTTATTATGTATGATGTTTAAAAGGATGCACATGAATTGTAAGTTAAATGTTCTTACTGCTTAAAGTAGTTCTGATTTAGCCTCATACATTCTAAGCCTTGGAAACAGCTGGCAAGTTCATGGGACTCAATGTTAATAGAGTGGTAGTCTGGAAGAAAATAAACAATATTGATTGACAACAGTAATAATACAATATGTTAATATACTGTATTATACACTCCCTCTAATTTAAAACCCGTTCAATTAAAGACCACTTTTCAGTGGTCCCAAATTAACAAATGTCTTTTATTTTTATTATTCTAATTAGAGATCAAAGCAGCTAAAGTCCATAAAAACCCCAGTCCCAAAAATGGTCTTTAATTGGAGGGAGACCTATATTAATAATAAATTACAACATAAATATAACATAGCATAATAATAAAAGCAATAACATGTTATAATATACTGTGTTTTAAGCATATTACATAAATAATTGAATTATTATTTACAGTATTATTACAGGTATTATCAATAAAAATCTGAAACTATAAAAATAATGTCTGTGGTGAAATTACACTGAATTGCTTTAATTAAAAGATTCAAATAAGTTTATAACTTCCAATAATGACACACAAAAACACAAGACTTCATCCATCCAAAAATCCATATCAGCCAATTATAAAAGTATGCAAAGAATACATGAACAATATTATTAATGTGTCTGTAAATTGTCAAGGACCCTACTTGCTTGTTCAAATTTTTAATTAAAAAGTTAATAATTAACTGCACGAATTAAGTGTTCAAACAAAGAACGCTACAGTAACTGTTCAAATACGAAAGCTCAACAAAAAAAATGGAATATATCTTCAACTAACTTACAACTAACACAGACTAACTAGCTAATTAACTAGGTTAGGGGGCGTTCACAATTATCAATATTTTCACAAGTGTACAAACAGTATGCTATGGGGAGTTGGTAGACAAATTTGTATAATTTTACAATATGCATGAAAATGTTGATTCAATGGAAAATATTTAGAATAATACATTTTTATGACCAATTATAATGCAACAATCGATATAATATACAATTTTATGTAAATAAGAGCAGTACTTTAGCCGTCTTCACAAAAAAATGGGAAATGATTTTGCATAAATCAACATTTTTTATGCAAATTTCAGAGGGGAGGAGGGGGTACTGAAAAAAGAATACTGTTCATACACTTGTAAAAATGCTCATGGTTGTGAACAACCCCTTAGTTCAAATAATAACATTTCTAAAATTCTATAAAAGCCTTCCTTACTATTTAGACAGAGATGAATGTCCCTGAGGACTGGTAGATGGTGGGCAAGGTTGACCACTTCCTGCCATCGCACTCCCGTATTGTTCAATACAATTGCATTCAGTTTGCCATGATACCGTTTAAGTGACTGCAAACAGCGCTGTCAGAAGAAAAATACTGTATGTTGATATGCATAAATTAAATTTTCTACAATATAACTAAATTTGAACAACATATGTAACGTTAATTATAGTTGACCTAAAAAAAATCATTATTAAATTCTCAAGTCTTTCTTTCAAGTACAATTAGAGAATCTTAATAAGAAAAAGAATGTAAATTCAGAAAATTGAAAGCGTACATACCTGTTTGTCTCGAAGTCTGTTTGAGCTGAGATTCAGAAACTCCAACTTGGGTAGATTATCTAAAAGCAAGAGTACTTCAGACCAACAATCAATGAAGTTGTTCGAGAGGTCGAGGTCAACAACATTTGGACAAATATCCAGCGCACTGCTGGCTGGAAATCCACATTTACTTATCTGACAATTTGTTAATACCTACAGTACAAAATATAGAAAAAGGAACCATTGTAATGTCACTAATCAAATTCCACCTGCCTGCTCCAGTTGTATTTAGAATAGCATACTTAAAATACAATGCATTGATATCAGAATAGTGAAACATTTCAAGTTTGAAAATTATCCTCTCATGGGGTCCTTCTGGTGAAATTGGGTAGTAAACCAGAAACTTGCTTATTTATGAGTACAGTACATATATTCTTTAAAATGTACATGGGCCATATTGTACACAGGATTAGTGGTAACTACTTAAATTGCCAACAGAGGGTCCAAGATACAAGATCCAAAATAATATTTATTGCCTCCAGTTAAAATAAACGAATAAATTACAAAGCTCTTAAAAAGAACAATTCTATTAAAGGAAATTACATTAAAATTTTAAAAAAATTACATTAAAATTGAAACACACAAAAAAATTAAAAAGTCCAGGAAGTCTGACAGGGATCGTGAACCAAGGAGCTACTTAAGACCTCTTGTCAGGGTCCCAAAGTAAACACTTTTGGTTTCAAGTTTTTTTTTTATTTGCTTGGACTGGCAAATTAATATTGTTAGTTCAAGGAACTCAAGTGGCGTCTGGCAAATGAGGGGCCGTGTTTAGCGCTGCAACTGTACAGAAGTACAATGGCTTAAACATCTCCTCCCAAAGATAAAATACATGGACACTGATGAAATTAAGTTATCCAGGGATCAAAGTTTGAAAGGATCTTCATAGTTTAGCAAACACACAGTTAATACCATGAGTTCGGTGACTGTGGAATGCTGCATTTTAATTACTTAATGTTTCCTAGATGGTCCTAGAAATTAAATAATTTTCCTAAATGAAAGATACTGTAATCAAGAAAACCCAGATTCCTTATTATTACCATATTTTTATCATGGACTTTTAACTAAAGTCCTTGATTACCTGTAATTTGTTACAATTAAAGGATATACAACTTCCAAAATTTATTCAAAAAATAAAGCCTTGGTTGATTATTCTTAAAAAGCATTCAATGTTTTTGTGGTATTCATTCTCTGAAACTATAGTAGAGCATTAGATTAACAATCCAGGGACAACCGTCTAATGTCAAACAACAAGTATAGACAAAAGTCAAGGAGAACCTAAATAGTCCCAAACTTCACTTTAATTTGGTTTTAAATTTTGCTATAAGAAAACAAAAATTATCTTGGAACTTTATTCAACAAGGATATATGCAGGGCAGTTTGGTTTAGGAATTAAGGAATTTATCAAAGAATTGAGCAATTTTTGTATACAATTGGATGAAGGGTGTAGGTTACTACTCCATATGCCATTCATACAACTTGGAGAAAATCAAATGTACAATCATCTATAGCCTATATCCAATGTATTGTATCTCTAATTGTCAAGGTACAAGATGGAACCCATGACACATTTGTGTTTAACCTTCAATCAAGGATTTGTAAAAAAAGACCCTCATTTCCTTCATAATTCTTCATTGTTTTCAAGGTATTTAGTTTTTCCACTAATAGTATCTGTGGTTTATCCAAAATCGGCCCACAGGATTCGATGGAGTTTTGAAGTAGATAATTCTGAAAAGAACAGTTTCAGTACTTTGTTCTTAATTTGTGTATACAGTATTTATATTATAACTAATAAGATTTGAAATATTGAATCCCATCACGATCGAATGTATTTCATTTCTTGGAGCATGTATTATTCCTTTATATCTAAAAGTAATCGGTGGACCCCTGGTTTCTGTGTATATTTATTGTTTACTCTCAAAAATAATCATTGAACTGTGTCTGTGGAAACTTTTTATTTATGCATTTACAAAAGAGTCGGATATATACAAATGCCATAATTAAAGTGCAATCACCTTTTTGATTCCAATAAATATTCAATACATCAAAAATATGGTCCATTTGCCATGTAAAAACGCTATTCTTTCGGAATTACTGTAGTCAACATTGTTAATTGTACAGTTAAAATATCCATTATTTATAGCAATGACAGCTAATCAGGCATCAAAATGGCACATGATAGTTCATTGAATAGGAAACAATAGAGTGACGTGGATTGCTTAGTAAGCTTGTAATGCACCTTAAAAATAGTTATGATAGCAGTGTTAATAGGGTATATAGTATTTTTATTTTTGTTGAGTTAACAAACCTGAAATATATAATTCAATATTTCAATAGCTCATTTAAGTTACTTATTTAGCTTTCAATTCATAATAAGAACGAGAACCAATTTCAAGTCATTTTTTTAATTTAAATTAAATATTCCCTATTGTAACTTCTTGAAATTAAAAACAACCTGATGAATTTTTAATGATAAAATTACAGAAATTTAAAATAAATTTATTATTTCAGAAAATTTATAAAATGATGTGACAGTGTACCTAACGTTATTAATTTCTGTTTTTCTCTATTACAGTAGACTCTCCCTTTTGGGACATCCCTATTAACGGGACACTTTTTCAGTTTTGAACACTACAGCCAGGGTCCAGGGTCCCCTAAATGAGGTTCTATTTACTTCATTCAGCTGTTTGTAATTGTTATATTGTTGATGCTGGTTCCAATAAACCTCGCACTGGATAGAATAATTAGCATTAGTGGAACGTCTGTTCAATAATTAAAATAAGAGGTAGGCCTAATGTACTAAGAGAACAATGATTTGAAGTTTCTTTTGGCTGTGGGTTCTTATAACAGAAAACAAAAACCCTTTATTTAACATAAGAATTGACCTTTTAATATGCACTTTGAGATTAAATTAATAGTTTTATAATTGTTTATTAAAGCATAGAATGATGGAAACTCATGTAGAAGCAAGCGTTAAGCACACCCCAGCAATGACGTGAGCAATTTATGCACAATACAACAATGGTTACCATTTTTTATAATAGCAAATGCACTTGTTATAAACAATTACAGTAGTTGAGAGATAATGTGATAGCTGTTTATTCTTTAATGTTTGAAAATAAATATAATTATTCATATAACATGGTATTTGCATGTTAACAGTTTTAAACAAGTTTTATTACTGGTATGTTAAAATTACTTCTTACAATACCTGCTTTCTAAGTAGTCAAGTTCTGTGTTAATTATTTGGTGAAAATTTGTCTAAAATCTAAAGTTACATTACCTGATGAAGTGTCGCTGAAAGCACAATGAACGTAACAAGTACGTAAAAACATTAGTATGAAGACTTAAAGTTAAATTGTTTGATCATTCTTGCAGTAATTAATATCCAAAAAGTGAAGGATAAATTTTTTTCCAATATATGTACACTCAGGACCTGCCACGGGATAAAAGCTAGGCATATGGCACCTCTGAATATTCTTTGGTAAGTTTAAAATGTTCCAGCAAAAAAAACCAAAAAAAAACTGTAACATAACAACCCGAACAACCACATTTTGAACTCGCCACATTGTGATGTAAATGTTGGGCTGTCATTTGTTCCAGGAAAGCTCTAATAAACGATAATCCCTCTGTTTATACATAGAGCTACATGTTTACAAAAGTGTGCAATAAAAAACGTATACAGTAAAGCCCACAAGAATTATACACGATTAAGAACACAGACCCATGGAACTACAGATAATTTGTTTACTGTTAAAGCGGGGAGGTACTATAGCATCCTACTTAAGTTAACTAATCGGGTTAGCAAGACAGGGAACTTACATAACATTCACTTCATTCAAAGGAAAAACAGACTAAGACTTCCGTCAAACAATATTTCATGGGATTTAGCAATATGAACAATGTCAAATCTAAATAACAACTCCCTGGTCAAACAATACAAAAAAACTCGTACTGTACTAGGCCTACATGTACATATAGCGCGTTGAAAATACTCACCACATTTGTTAGGTAATTAAACTCTGGCTCGTTTAATACCACACCATTGTCTTCATCACAGTCCTCTAGACCTAGGCTGGTCAATTTCGCAGACCGTCGATTCGGACGGGGCCCAAATATGACAATGTCAACAACGAAATCGTTGGCTGCCGAGCTCTCAAAATCATCACAATATTTTGAACGCAATGCCTCTACAAATGTCTGCTGTGCCATGTTAACCTACCCGAAATTCCAGGATTTTTGAAAAATTCAACAGCCAATTTTCTACCCGTTTATTTACGTTGGACCTGTACCTCCATTCAAACTTAGCACCTTCTCAGAATAATACTCGTCTTTTGTCTAACGAGAAACTATTGCGTCGTATTGTTTTTGTTTTGATGTAGTAGTAATAGATAGGTCATCAGCTGATTTAGAAATACTAGTAACCTTTTTAGACTAGACTCTAAAACAGTCGCAAATCATTGATCATCTGTAAATGCAAAGACTAGTAACAGCAATAAACAACGGCGGCGCTAATTTCAATTTCAATTTTGTACCTAATAATAGGCCTATACAGTAAAATACCGTATTTATTCGAATAAATTCTGGTCAAAATGTGTTATTCCGTGATCATAAAGACTTACTGATCCCAACCAGGTTAAAAAATGTAATTCTACGGGAGTAGAATATTAATAGAATGTGTTGAGAATGATGTTGCTTCCATTAGTTTTCGAGAAAACAATTAACGCTCCACTGCTGTTCGAGGGAGAGGCCTACTCATTCAAACGGGGCGTTTATGAATAAATAGACCTATGGTACGTATAGGCCCTTATTATGACTTACAGCGGCGTATCAGTCGCCCCTCCTCACCCCAATCACGTTTAATTAGTTGAAAAAACATCACCTGAAGCCACCTTATTTTGCGAGCTAGCTCCCCCGGGTCACCTATCAGGAAATTTTCCTTGTTGTCGACAGGGTTTTTTGCATTATTTAGGCCGCGCCCTATGAATATTATGGCTGATTTTGAAAAATTGATTTTTTTTTTAACCTGATAAATGAAAAACCACGACATAAATAGTTATGTAGGCCTAGGCCTAATCGTATTTAGGCCTATAATAAAATAATTACAAAATGATAAATGAATGAATTATTATTGTTATTGTTGGTGGTGATGTTGTTACTGTTGTTATTATAGGCCTATCATTGAATATTTTATAATGATTAAGGCACCTATAGATAGCCGGAAATGGCACTCTCAGACTTACATTTTAATTAAATTTTCTTTTTTTCTCTATAAACTTTTATTTTGAAAAACTTGTGGGGGAAGCTTCCCCCACACTTGAATCCGCTACTGATGTTCATACTGATTATGCGGCTTTTTGAGCTCCATTTATGTCAATTTCTTGATTGTGTTAATTTGAGCAGCTGTGCGTAAAACTTTGGACGCTGTTGTACCAGCCAACCAACCGCTACAAGGCGTAAGCCTATACCATTAATGAACGAAGTGCTAAAGGCCTACATATTATTTCCAATTGGTTGAAATTGGTAGTAAAAGAGTCAAAAAATGTTACCTGTCAAAACAAATTTTATAATTTTTATATATAGAAACACAGGCTTTGTAACAACAGATTCCGTGTAGCGGTTATCACATCTGCCTAACACGCAGAAGGTCCATGTTTCGAGCACGGCCGCAGTCAATCATAATTTTTGTTATTGAAGTTGGTTTTCTATTAATAAATATTTCAGAGACCTTCTATCACAACTTTCAATGGCAACGACTTTATTAAGCAACATATATTTTTAGTGTTACTGTTATTTCATATGCATAATACACGGGAGGTACCCGGTCTATTGTTATTTTAATAATTGATTACCATTTTAAGTGGTTTCTAAAATATTACATGGACACCAATTTCAATAAAAATAGGCGATTCCGCCCGGGCTCGAACCTGGGACCTTCTGCGTGTTAGGCAGATGTGATAACCAATACACGGGAGGTACCCGGCCTTATGTTATTTTAATAATCCATTACTGTTTTATAAATTTCAACTGGAAAATTACTAACTCCATAAACAAGCAACAGATTCAATTGTGTAGCGGTTATCACTTCTGCCTAACACGTAGAAGGTCCCCGGTTCGAGCCCGGGCGGAATCACTATCTTTTTATTGGTATCCATGTTCTATTAGGCTTAGTAAGTATTT